GTTTTTGCTGGCTGTAGCAGCGCTACAGCGCTGCTATAGCGCTGCACAGCAAAAACGCATAAAAAGCCTCTTCTAAGCTCAAAAACTTTTCCAGTGCAGACTGCCCCACTGTTCCTCTCACAAATTTCCTTTCGAAAAAACCCCAGTCGCAACACCAGCAAGAGATCAGCGGGGGTGTTATAAATTTTTACTTCGTTTCATACTTGAAGCAACTATTGCATTCCTTCCTGTGGAAATGAAAGTTTGCTATAATCATGTTTATTTCATATGTGCCCACGGTAAGTTCCCTTCATCACCTCTGCAACACGCTTTTCTCCTTTTTTTAAGTTTCATTTTTTGAGATATTCAATTTCAGGAATGTGGCACAATCGATGCCGAATTTGCGCCATGTGTTGGTAAGAAGACTGCTGATCAGCTGTTCTACGACTGCTGCAAGCTGTACATCGAACCTGAATGTCACGATCTTTGTCAATATGAAGTTGATAGAGATGCGGCGCAATCACTTGTACAGAGTGTTTTTCGTTTCCTTAACACTTTCGTCAAATAGGCACTACGATATGTTTGCTCAAGTGCGCTCATCTGCCTGTGTGATCGCATGTTCTAGTTTCCGAGCTATAAAACTCAGGACACTGAAGTTTTGGGAATTTAATTCCTCTATATGTAAAGACTAGAGGACAGCTCACACATCTGTCTCTGTATCCTGACTTATAACCCCACACCTGAGTCTGAGTAAGCATCACAACTCAAAAATGTGCAGGTTAGAAAATCGAAGTTTTAAGTGCTTGATTAATTTCAAAGTAAATGTGCTAAAATTAGCTTTCAAAGTTCAACGCACTGCATCCTGACCTGTAACCACTGGGCAAAAATGATATGTAGGACCTGTCGTCAGTTTTTAAACTGCTATGTCTAAGATCCGAACTAAGCCAGTTTTTCAATTTTAGATGGGGCAAGAAATTTTCTAACTTTGTTCACCACATGAGCCTGCTGAATGGCAGGAGTAAAATTTTAAACATTTGCGCGCCTTTCCCTTAGACATCGCATCCAAATGTAGGCAGTGGTCTTAATTCTAGGACACAAGCAAGATAAAAATGATAAAACTTTCTTTTTTTCACACTTTGCAAGCGATGAGTAAGTCGGACGATGTAAACCTAGTTTATGTTACATTCCACCCATCCATTTTATCCATAACAGCTTATGGAAAATCATATTCCCACATCTGCCTTTGGATGAGAGATGCAATATTCTTTAAATCGAAAATACAGATTTATCACGCATTTGATGGAACCGGAGTTACCTGGCTCGTCTATAGTCTACACCAGCAATTTCAAAACAACTGGCCAACGCACGGGCTGCCCGTGTGAAGATGGGTTTTTTGCATAGTTCCCCGCAGTTTTTGTCGCTACCGGCACCGGTTTTTCCTGCAAATGCTTCTAACTAAACAAATTAAGACTGGCCGCCAGAACTGTCAGGAAATAACCCCCGTAAAATTTCAGCTTTCCAGCTTTCCTGGCTCCCAAGTTAGCAACTTACCCGAAAAAAACTTTCACGGGCCTGTAAGTGGGTACCACGCACACCCGGTGTCTGGGTTTGAGCTCATTATTACCTATTTGGATGGTATACATCCTCTTAAAATTCCAACCCTCTAGCTTCTCAGGTCCCCGAATTAGCAACTTACCCGAAAAAATTTTACGGGCCTGAAGTGAGTAAGACGCATATCCGGGGACTGGTTTGAAGCTCATTAAGACTTACGTGGACGGGGAACGTCCTCTTAAAATTGCAGCCTTCTAACTTTTCAGTTCCCCTACTAGCAACTTACCCGAAAAAGGTCCTGGCAGGCCCGTATGTGGGTACCACACATACTCGGTGTCTGGGCTCGTGATCACTAACACCTACGCGGGAGGGGGACGTCCTCTTAAAATTCCAACCCCGAGCTTCTCAGGTTCCCGAGCTAGCAACTTACCGGAAAAAAAATTTCATGGGCCCGTACGTAGGTACCACGCATACCCGGGGAATGAGTTTGAGCTCATTAATACCTGCGCGGACGGGGAACGTCTCCTTAAAATTTCAGCTTTCCATCTTCTCTGGTTCATGAATTAGCGGCTTGCCTGTAAAAAAATTTGGCGGGCCCGTAAGTGGGCAACACACGGGTAAGAGCGCCTATTTTGGGAATGGGGGCCCGTACATGCATGTAGATTAAGTTCATAGAATTTCAGCCCCATAGCACGCAAACAGGCAACATCTCGTCAATATGCGTTTTCCGCATTGCATAGCTGCCGAAAATGCATAATGATTACAAATTTCATTACTTATGGTGGTGCAGTGAGCAAAAAAGCACATTGTCAGGAGGTCATCCGCGTGTGTGTGTGTGTGTATGTGTATGTGTGTGCGTGTGTTCGGAAGCGAGTGAACTTTATCACCCACTTTCAACTTAGCAACCAGGAAAGCTTGGGACTGAAATTTTGGGTGGGAGAGGAGGAAAGGGGGAAGCACATTCTCTCCCCATAGTCAACCTTCCTTTTTATGCGTTTTGTGCTGTGTAACAGCAGTACAAAACGCATATTGTT